GAATTTGTTAGCGCTTCTAAAACAAATAAATCTTTGAAGAAACGACTTTCTTTACTTGAAAACGATTTTGAAAAATTGGAAAAAGAAAATGAAACACTTAAACAAGAAAACAAATTTTTTGGAAAAAGAAGCGCTGACAAACCAGAAAGCTCATCAAGTGAATGTGGGTCTTGCAAAGCTTTAAAAGAGCAAGTCGCTAAACTTGAGAGCACGGTCAAGAAATTTAATACTCCTCATAAAGACTTAAATTTACTTCTTGACACTATGCATTTTTCTAAGGAAGGAATAGGTTTTGATAAAAATAAAGCTAAAGATAATGTTGAGCCACCACCTAGACAATCATCTAAGGCTCAACATAAGAAACCTAAAAATCAAGATAATAGAAAACCTAGTCAACCTAAGGACACTAGACAACCTAGACTAAAACCTAGGAATGAAAACGGTCATGGTAGACAACCTAAGAAAAATGATTTTGTGCATAAAAATGAATTTTCACAAATAAGAAGAAATAATGCTAGAACACCTAGAAGAGGCCAGTTTCAAAATTTCCAAAAACCATCATTTTCACAAAATAGGAACAAAATGGTTAAACCTTCTAACTATTATGAACCTAGGCACATGTACAACCCTAATGTAGTTTGCCATTACTGTAATAGGATAGGCCATATTGCTCCCGTTTGTTACACTAGGCATAGGCACTTGTCACAAAATCAAGCACACTACCATCACACACCTAACACCCGAGGACCCAACGTAAATTGGGTACCTAAAACTCATTGATGTGTTTTATAGGTGTGCTTGAAGGCATCAAGTGTACTTTGGTACCTTGATAGCGGATGCTCCACACACATGACCGGGGATGCATCCAAGTTTCTCCAAATCAAACCCGCTAAAGGAGGAAACGTAGTCTTTGGAGACAATAGCAAAGGAAAAATTATCGGCGTTGGTTCAGTAGGTAAATCTGATATCTCCTCTATAGATAATGTCTTGCTTGTTAAAGGTCTTAAACACAATCTCTTGAGCATAAGTCAATTATGTGACAAGGGAAACCGTGTGACCTTCAATTCAAAATCATGCACTGTAGAACGCCTTAGTGACCATAAGGTCATTCTACGTGGTGATAGAATCGATAACATTTATATGGTTAACTTAGACAAATCTCCTTCCGGCTTTGCTAAGTGCCTCATGAGTAAAGAGGAAGACACTTGGCTATGGCACCGAAGGGTAGCTCATATGAACATGAATCTCTTGAACAAATTGGTTTCACAGGACTTAGTAATTGGCATCCCAAAACTTAAGTTTGAAAAGGACACCATATGTGATGCATGTCAAAAGGGGAAGCAAGTTCGAGCTTCGTTTAAGTCTAAGAACGTTGTTTCAACGTCTAGACCGCTTCAAATTTTGCACATGGATCTCTTTGGTCCTTCTAGAACGAAAAGTTTTGGTGGTAATTACTTTGCGTTTGTGATTGTCGATGACTACTCTAGGTTTACATGGACCTTATTTCTAACTCATAAAAGTGAGGCATTTCATGTTTTCAAAAATTTCTTAAAGAAAGTACAAAATGAAAAAGAGACAACCATAGTAGCCATAAGAAGCGACCATGGGGGAGAGTTCGAACGAAATCTGTTTTCAGATTTGTGTGACGAACTTGGCATTGATCATAACTTTTCAGCCCCACGCACACCACAACAAAACGGAGTGGTGGAACGTAAGAATAGATGTCTCGAAGAGATGGCTAGAACTATGATCAATGAGGCAAAAATTCCTAAGTATTTTTGGGCGGATGCCGTGAGTACCGCGAGCTACGTGTTAAACCGATCCGTCATTCGACCGATACTCATGAAAACGCCCTATGAACTATACAAAGGGAGAAAGCCAAACCTTTCCCATCTTCGAGTCTTTGGTTGCAAATGTTTTATTCATAACAACGGCAAAGATAACTTGGGAAAATTTGATGCCAAGTCGGACGAAGGGATTTTTCTTGGTTATTCTCTTCGCAGCAAGGCCTATAGAGTATTTAATAAACGTACTTTGACTATTGAGGAATCCCCTCATATTGTTTTCTCCGAAGATAATACTCGCTTGGCGAGAAAGGCTATTTGTGATGATCTTGCAGATTCATTAGAGAGAGTACACCTTGAAGACGATGAAGAAGACACGCCATTATACACCAACCCGCAACCACAACCTGAGGAAACGCCTCAAGTGATGATCGAAAATGAAGACCAAGCAGACGAAGAAGAA